AGCTACGTCCATCTTTTATACAGTCTATGGTCTTTGTGTAGGATTTCGGATCATATGAGCTTCTACTAAATGCATTTCTGATGAGTTACGTACTGTAAATACAGGCACCACATGGTCTTTGCTTTACAGCTACGTACCTTACAAGCAGCACGATGAGGACAGAACTTGCCGAAGCCCAGTGGAGGCTGGATGCGTCGCAGCAGCGTCACCACATCCAGATGTTTGATTCTCCCCCTGTTAGATCGGAGAAATGTTTTACACTCACTTTACACTTGAGTGACACCCACTAAACTTGGACTTCATCCTCAAAGGTCAACACTCACGTGGCTTCAGGGTCATACTCAGCCCAGATCTTCTTAAACTCATCCAGATGATGTGGACCAAGAAGAGACCAATCACGCGTCAGGTAGTCAAAGTTGTCCATGATGACAGCTACAAACAGGTTGAGGATCTGGATTTAGGAAGGGGACAAAAAGGTGCTTATTAATACAAAATGTTTTGGAGGAAATCATATTTCTTCCGTTGAACTGCTTCTCACCAGGAAGGCACAGAGACAGTAGAAGCTGAGGAAATAGAAGACAGCAAAGTTGGACCCGCAGGTGTACTCTTCTCCTGGCAGGAAGTCGGATTTGGGGTCACACTTCTTCCCATACATTGAAGCCATCATGACCTCCTGCCAAGCCTCTCCAGTAGCACATCTGGATACGTAAACACACATCAAATGGTGAGATTTTGGTTCAATTTTAAACATTCAAACTCCAAGCAATTTCTGTTTTTTTTTTTTTTTTTGTCCTTTTCTTTTTTGTTCCTGCCACATTTTTACTGATATATTGTGTCATTTTGGAGATGCTTTAAAGCTGACATGACTTTCAAACCACAGCTCGTGGCCCTGAAACGTACCGGAATAACATCAGAACAGCCTGAGGGAATGTCTGGAAGTTGTTGTTGCGGTTGATTTGGGTGCCGTCCACTAAGGCTACTTTACCAAAGATCTGAAGGTTGTTGCAGTACAAGTCAAAATTAGTGTCATTCACCAGTGAGAGATACAGCGACTTGTCCTGATGACATTTAACTAGAAACATAAAGACAATCTACAATGTGTGACTTCATTATTAACATTAAAGACTGTACCTGCATCCCAATGACGGCGTAGATAAAGAAGAGCATCACAATGAGCAGCGCTACATGAGGGAGGGCCTGTGGACAGAAGACATTCAGGTCATGGAAAAGCGACAACTACGAAGGACAGCGGTGAGCGTAAATGAAATAAATGAAGACCTGGAAAGACTTGATGAAGGTCCACAGCAGATTACGGATGCCCTCTGAGCGGTTCAGCAGTTTGACCAGACGCATAACACGGAAGAGTCGGAAGAACGTGATGGAAACCGAGGCATTTTCAGAGGCCTGCGGACAAAAAGACGAAACAAACATTAAGCAAAGCATAAAAACGTGGCTGAGATCAAACGCTGGGAGAGTTTAGAGGCTTACCGCAATTGCTTGCATAGGATTCGTCTCCTGCACAAAGTAGACGAAGAGATTACAGGAGGCAGTTGCAGGAGTGGCATTTAATATAATAATATCATGAATAGTATTGATCAGCTGTTAAACATTATCAAGGTATGATTTAAGGGTTAATATTAGAATCAGTTTTCCACTTTGGATGAGTTGCACTCCTTCCTGGTCTGAGCAGCTGAACGGTTGCAACTTGTAACTCATGCGAAATAGACAAAGTACACACGCTTCATAGTCAAAATATTAACTGTTTTCAGTCAGTCAAGCTGTCACTAATACTTGCTGTGAATGTCTACATGGAGCTGACATGTAGCCCTGTTTGTACAAACAGTATGAGCCATACTGTAACACCATATAGCAAAACCCCTTGAGGTCTTATCTTACATTCGCGCTGTAAGATGAGACAGACAGTAGAAACGCAGATGTTTAACCAGCAGGTTGAGCAACACACGATTTATTACAGTCGTGCTATAGTTTAGTAGAGAACACGGTGCTCACACAGCAAGGCTCATGCAGCAGTGCAGTGCAGATCAGATATTTACAGCACAGCCATGGAGACAGTACAGTCCTCCACTGGAGGCCAGGGCAGTCTGTGGAGGATAGACAGATGAGGAGTGAGGTGCACAGAGGGGTTGATGGGGATGAGAGAAAAAAAAGTAGAGGAGGAACAGGAGAAAGATGTGACACAGAGCGTGGATGGAGAAAACTGAAACTGCGATAAGCTCGTGTTTGTGAATGAAAACGTGACGACAATGCAGTGCAACACTGTGATTGGCCAAAGAAAACACTGACATTGTGTAGCAGTATCACCAGGGAAATATCTACATGTGTAGCTGATATTGTGCTCTTTTAAAGTTCTCACACAACACATATAAGACATCAAAATAAAAAAAAAAATGGAAATAGAAAGCATAACAGGTAACAACAGGTTTTTGGAAATAGAAATGCATTTTAGGCTGCACAAGGTGCTGAGGAGGACGGGAGTGGAGCAGGTGTGGTGGAAATATACAACAACTGTACTGACCACGTCCTGTCAGATAGTTCTCCTGGCACCAAACAGCTGTTGGGCCACAAGTATAAGCTTCTGGATCAGATTGCTGAATAAATACATTCTGTCATTCAAAACGGAATCACGCTACTGCCTGGGAATGTGTCACTAAGACAGCGTAAGGGACTTTTCTACAGCACCTGCGATGAGAACGTGAAATCTGTGTCGTATGCACTCACATCGACTTCACTCAGGATGACATCAACAACGCTACCAATGACGATGATGAAGTCAAACACGTTCCAGGGGTCTCCAAAGTAGCCCTGCGCAAAGGGGTGACGCAGATTAGGAGATGAGACTCGGTGCATCAGCAGTAGAACAACAAACATTAGAGCGTTTACCCTCGCTTTGAAGGCCATGAGCTTGAGAATCATCTCCACGGTGAAGAGCACGGTGAAGATCAAGTTGAGAGTGTCCGACAGCTTGGTGACATGGTCGGACTGATTACAGTGCTGAAAATAAATTCATAATAATACGTTAGAACTGCTGATCTGACATAGTAGAATTACAGATCGTAGCTGTGGTGAAGATAACTATAAATAACTTGAAAAAATGACAATGAAAAATTAAAAGTATTCAGAAACTGGGATGAGCCTACGTTGAAAATAAATTCGGCCAACATTTTAACTTTAAGGATTAGATCTAATCAACTGCAACTTTGAAAGCAGGTGACTCAACTTGTAAGTCATTGCTTTCTGAAAACTGACATGCAATGTAAGATGTTGTAAATGAATCGATAAAGAAATCTGTAGCACATCTTTCATTTATGTGCATCTAATTTGCCCCCAAATTATTTATTTTGCGATATGCTGTAAAGTTATGTTCAAATGCTGTTCAAGTTTCATTAATTAAATGCTTCAATAAACCCTGAACCCCTGTGACTCAGCGCATGCAAAAAAAATCTCAGCAGCATCTGAAGATAGAGCAGAAAGACACTCAATATTGTCTGTTACGACCCTCGGCACAATCTCAGTGCTTTCAGGTTGCAACGTGACCTTGATTTACATACCTGCATCCCCAGACACAAGGTGTTGAGCATAATTAGGAAGAACATGAGGTACTCAAAGTAGCAGGAGGTGACAATGTACCAGACCCTGTACTGGTAGGGATTTTTAGGGATGTAGCACCTCAGAGGACGAGCCTTCAGAGCGTACTGCACACACTGACGCTGGTGTGTCAAAACAAAAAAGAATTAGTCATTCTACGCGACAGTAGCAGGTTGAATTTACCAGGAATGACTGCGCTCTCACTGTCATCAGCTTCATGTCAGTGTACCTGGTTCTTGTCCAGCTCACAGTTCTTATACTCCTGCTCGCCCTGCTCCTGGAAGGTGACTATGACAAAGCCCACAAAGATGTTCATCATGAAGAAAGCTATGAGGATGATGTAGACGATAAAGAAGATGGACACGTCGACGCGGTTGTTGAACACCGGACCCATATCTTCTTGGTCTGAATCTATGGCTCTGTACAAGAGCCTGGAAACAAATGGAGATATGATGAGAAAAGAGAGGAAATTGGCTGAACAAAGCCTAAAGATCAGAGATAAAAAATTTGGACAGATTCCAGGCGATGGAATTACTTCCAATACTAATATCCACCTAACCTGATATACTGACTTCTAACTCAATCACACAGATAGAATCAAAATAATTCAATCATAATCCTATTAAAAGATGCAATTTATCAAATCTAAATGTATTCTGTGCTCACTTTGGCCATCCCTCAAATGTGGAAACAGTGAATAGAGCCAACATCCCGTAGAGCACATTGTCAAAGTTGAAGTCGCTGTTGATCCATTCTCTTTTCGCCAGCACCGTGTCTTGGAGGGAATTTTCCATGTGCTTCATGAAGAATCCCCTGAGACCAGACATGATGAATAGTCACTCAAAAATAGCAATATGGTTTTGCTAAATGAAATCTATGATGTGCAAACGTTGTTTGGCTTACTGGCATTCCTCCCCAGTCACTTTGGATGGGTCTGTGCAGCTGTAGAATTTACCCTGAGAGGGAAAGGATTAGTGACGCATCTAATACACCAGCAGCAAAGCTTCTAGTCTGGAAATATGACCTTCACAGTATCACACGGCTATGAAGCCATATGTGAACAAACTTACCTTAAAGAGTTGGACACCGATACAGGCAAACATGAAGTTCAGCAGCATGGTGACCAGGACGATGTTGCCGATTGTTTTGATGGCCACAAACACGCACTGAACCACATGCTGTCAATTCAGATAAACAATAACCAATTAATGTCAAGTTTTGTATCTAAGTACACATTTGAGGTACTTGAGTATTTCCATTGCCAGATACTTTATATTTCTATTTCCATACATTTTAGAAGGTAATAATTTACTTTTTACAGCACTACATTTTTGTAATAGCTATAATTACTAGATACTACTATTATATATGTAAAAAAAAAAAAAAAAGAAAACAAAACAAAAACATTTAACAACATACTCCTGAATGTTTTTTTTTTTTACAAGTGTCTGTTTAGGACCCTTTGTCATATCCCAGACATCTATGTATCGTAGTCAGGACTGTAAAAGAGTGGTTTCCCTTATACATTTCTCAGCTAGCTTCCCCCAGATAATACTTTCAGGCCCAAAGAAGTGAAAGTATCCAACATTTTACCAAAATAAAGAATAAATTACAGAAAAGGTCTGTTTATCTTTTGACCCTTCAGACTGGGTCTGACCCCAAGGACGGCAACTACTGGACTTAAACTGCACCTCAAACTGAATTTGCTACAAGATACAACTGTAAAGTGAAAACTTAGAAACAAATAAATACATCAATATTAACAATCTAATAAAGCCATACACATCACTTACATATCAGTCATTTTTCTGTAGGATTTCTCTAAACTTTAGGTAGATATTACTAACGGCACTTTGGTGCTTTTTATCTGAGTAAGAATTTGAATGCACTGTTTTTACTTGAAGTGAATATCTTTCCCTTGGTTGTACTGCGACTTTTACTCAAGTAAAGAATCCAATGAATGAGATGAAGCATTACTCCCACCCAGAAATCTCCCTTGGGGAAAATATTAATGCATGTGTTGTACCTTCAACCCTTTGGCTCTGTTGATGGCTCTGAGAGGCCTCAGTACCCTCAACACCCTGAGAATCTTCACCACAGAAATGGCACTGGATCTGCAAACAACACATGACAAAAAGCAGTCTTGATATGCATGTCTCAAAGTTCAAAATAGTGCAATTAATAACAATGTGAATATTGTGTTATGTACTGATTTTGTGATTCTAAAATATAAACTCACTCCATTCCCATAGACAGGAGAGACACTGTGACCACAATCAGATCCAGGATGTTAAAAGAGTTACGGCAGAAAGAGCCCTCGTGCATGAATGCTCCGTACACGGTCATCTGTCAGTGAAATGCAGGACAGTTACACACAGGATAATAAATCAAAAATGTTAAACAGAGCTGCCACTTTTTCTCAAAGACAAATGCCACATGTTAGAGCTTGTTAAATGTGAGCGTCTGCTGATTTTCTACCTTATAAATGATTACATTGAATTTCTCTGGGCCTTGGGATGTTAGTTGGACAAAACAAAGACCTCAGCTCAGACTCCAGACTAATTCGGTTATTTAAGAAAATAATTGGTCGATAAATTGGTAATGACAAAAACTGTTCCTTATAGGCCTAATGTTGAAAATGTCTAAACTTATTCCTCCACAAATGTAAGAGCCAAGGTGTAGGTATGTGATCAGTGCTGTTTGTTTGTCGGTCCATCAGCAAGATTAGACAAAAACTGCATGGCCGCATTTTATGAAACTTGGCAAAGAGGTGCAGAGGGGTGGATGGGGAGAGAGGCAGGAACTTAATAGATATGCACATTCTCAAGGAAGATACAGTAAAGAGTCACATCAAGCCCTGTAGGGCAGGAAGGGGTTATTTTCAGTGAGAAAGATCTTCATATATGGAGATGGATTTTTAGGGGTTTACTCAATGACCAGAAAGGGACATAAAAATTGTGAGAAATGGCATTGGCCTCGGCAGCAGACATCTCTCTGAGTATCCTCGTCGTTTCTGTGAGTATTTACATTCAGATCAATAAATATCGGATTTGCAATTCAGCAGGACAATAGCTCCTGTCATTGTGAGTTAGGTTGTTGGCTCACCCAGCTTTATCCCATAACTGAAAATGTAGTCTTAGATCATCAATCTCAATGGAAAACATGCACGACCTGAAAGAAAAACTATCTCATGTTGATCCTAGATGCTTCTCTCTCATGTAAAACATTGTCGATATGATGAGGAAACATTTGAGTGACGATGAACAAGAATGCAGGTGTTTTATAGCACAAAGATGCCCTGTTTGAAAAGTATCATCAGGTCAAAAACATCAAAGAACCAAATCAGTGACCCCAAAAACAAAAATACGCAGCACATTACTCTCTGTTGAACGGACCTTCAGCACAATCTCAATGGTGAATACGGTTGTGAAGACAATGTCAGCGTAGGCCAAGATCTAAAAGAAGGGCACAGAGAAACAGGACTGTTATCAAATGCGGCCTTTTACAACAGTTACTGTCCAGTGAGTTGGGCTCGACCTGCTGGTCACCTGGTTTCTGTAGGACTTGGGATCAATGGGATCCTCAGCTGCCAGCGAGATAGAGGACAGCAGGATGAAGAGGAGGATTAAGTTGGTGAAGGACGAAGCATTGATGATCTTGTAGCACAGCTTACGGAACCTGTAGAAAAGTTCGTAGCCAAATGTAAGCACACGCAGGCACAAGTGTTAGTTTGCATTATTTAGTATAATATATCTACTTCCAGGTTGTGCTTGTGCAGATTAACTGTCAGATTCCTACTTGTTCTGAGGGCCAAAAATGAAAAAGGAACTGGCTTCAGGCAATGGAACTGCTTCTTCCTTCAGCTGCAGGTCGGCCATCGGTCGGGGCCGAGGGCTGATGGGGATTTCAGGTTCTACTTCCTCATCATCACCTGTGATGCAGAAAAAAAAGCGCTCGAAATTCTACAGTGCAACGACATGCTCACTCACTGGAGGTACTGAAATAAAAACCTTAAGCAAAGAGGCAAGAAAAATCTCCCAGTGCTGAATCATGTGGAAGGCTTTATATGGTAGCCACCAGAGGGGTGTGAAAATAGCTTTAGACTCTGCTATAATCACAACTCAGGGAATCAGCTGAGTCTAATAGTGATGAGGGGTTACTATCCTTGTGCTGTAACATAGCCAAGACAGTGTAATGAATACAACCTCCTGGAATTAGTGACCTCCTTCTGCTACAACTACACCGCTGTGGGAGTTTGAGATGCAAGTAAAACAGTTGAAGATATATATATTTGTGTTTACCAGGGAAGTCAGCAGGTGGAAATGGATCTTTCACTTCATTGACATTGGACTCAAATTCATCGACTTTGAGCTACAAAATAAAGATATATGCGAATCACAAAAAGTTCTCGTGAATAAATCATTGTGACGACCGAACGTGATACGATGCTAGAAACAACACTAACCTTGGCTGTGGTGGGCATGTTCTCCATCTTGGCCCTCTGCTCTGCCAGTTTCTTAGCAATCCTCTCTCTCTCCTCATCAGTCTTCTCAGGCATTTTGGACCTAAAGGGCAAGAGGGGATAAAATTTAGCCATGCGTAGACAGAGCAGATTCCTCTCACCTGATATTCTTTGATTCACCTTAGTAGCTTCCTCCTCATTTTCTCTTCCGCCTTTTCTTTCTGAGCTGAAGTCAGACTCTCAGCCTCTGCCAGGTTGTCGACGGCGATGGCCAAGAAGACGTTGAGGAGGATGTCTGGTTGCATTGAGCTCAGGAAAACAAGAAGCTTGGTTGTTATTTTATTGCCATTCATGCAGTTTTTCTATCCACGATAAGTGTGCATGAAGGATACAGTTTCCACAAACAAAGAGGACAATAAAGTAGATGGAGACCAGGATGCCAGGGATCACAGGCCCTCCATAGGCCATAATGCCATTATACATGATGCTGGTCCAGTCCTCTCCTGTGAGGATCTGAGAGACAGGTAAGGGTTAAAAAGCAACCATTTAAACTTTTGATTATAAAAATCAGGTTTAACAAAATCAGATCGGTCATCGTTAAGAGTTTAAAGCGTTTGCCAAAAGTGTGCAGCCTCACCTGAAACACACTGATCAGGGCCTGAGGGAAGTTGTCAAAGTTACTGCGTCTGGCTCGGTGGTCGGTGAAGTTGAATTTCCCTCCAAACACCTGCATGCCCAGGAGTGAGAAGATGACGATGAAGAGGAAGAGGAGGAGGAGCAGGGAGGCAATGGAGCGAACAGAGTTGAGGAGGGAGGCCACAAGGTTACTTAGAGACTTCCAGTATCTAAAAAACAGTGGACCGGGAGTTAAGAGCAACAAAACTCCACTATCGTCATGTAAACTGTTGTCACATGACTAAACTTACTTGGTGACTTTGAGAATCCTCAGCAGTCGGATGCACCTCAGTACTGAGAAACCCAGAGGAGTCACAGCCCCTGCAGACAGCATGATCATCTCCAGGATGCCGCAGAGCACCACAAAGAAGTCGAAACGGTTAAACAGAGACATGAAGTACGCTCTGGGTCCCAGTGCATACATCTTCACAAACATCTCGATGACAAACAGCACCAGTAGCACACGACTGGCCACATCTGTTGAAGTGACAGAGGAGACAGACAAATGAATAAATTTATGCAAAAAAAAAAAATCTTTATGTATAACTGTGTGGTTGACCACCAACCTTGCAGGGAGGTCAGGGACTCAGACTGGTGGTGGTGCTCTGTGGCTATGGTCAGAGTGTTGAAGAACACGAGGATCATCACCGCCCAGTAGAAGCTATTGGTTTTCACATACACCAGGCACTTCATCCTGAAGAAACGGTTCCAGCGGCGAGCCAGGCGGCTAAACATGAAAACAACCCTGGCTTACAAGCTGCCATGGACATTACACACCAGCATTTATACATTTACAGAACAGCAGACTCACTAGTAGTAGACAATTCGACTCTTGCCTTCCAGGTCATACAGGCTGTCTGTGTCTGAATCTCCACTGGTCAAAGGCAGGAGACCTGACAAGGGAATAACAGCTGTAAGTTGACAGTGTCTCTACGTGGGGTGGGAGATGAGGTGGTTAATATAGAGCGGACCTTTGCCCTCTCTGTCGGCATCCAGGACTTCAGCGTGAGTGATCCACTCCATGTAGCCATGAAGGTCCTCATCCAGCTGCTGACGCTCTCGTAGCTTCTGGTACTCTCCACGTGACCTGGCCTTCTCTCGCTCTTTGGTGAACTCTCTGTGTTGAACAACATATACACATGTGATTATCTGATTTCTTGATTGATTATGTGAGGAAGCAACATGAACTCAACAGAGAGTAGAAAGAAAAACAGCCGTCTTACCCACTGAGCACGCCCAGAACCAGATTAAGCACAAAAAAGGAGCCCAACAGAATGAGAGGAACAAAATAGAGCCAAGGCCATTCATTTCCTATGGCATCATTAAGCTGAAAGCAAGAAAGAAAACAATGAATTCTGCTTTATGCATTTCACAATTAACACCTAACGTGTAGGCTAACGTGGAGATGTTGGTGCAATACAGAAGCAGCTACTGACCCAGTAGAGCACTTTGGTCCATCCCTCCATGGTGATACACTGGTATACAGTAAGCATGGCAAAGCCGATGTTATCAAAGTGGGTGATGCCATTGTTGGGACCTTCCCATCCAGGCCGACACTCAGAACCATTGATGATGCAGCGGCGTCCATTACCAGCCTGAGCGCAGGGAGCCGGCAGCTCAGCCTCTGCTGTGGCATAGATATCTGCAGGTCCACAGAGAAGAGATAAATAATCCATAGCCCTTAATATAACCCTTAATATAAAAGCCAAAGTGCAAGAGTATCTGGCTGTGTCCTTCTATACATACTTGTGTCAGTGTAATAGCAGGTCTTATGCATTTTGCACTTAAACAGCTCCAGTCCCATGATGGCATAGATAGTGACCAGTAAGAAGACCAGCAAGGCGATGTGCAGCAGAGGCAGCATGGCTTTGAGGATGGAGTTCATCACCACCTGTAGGCCTGAAATTGAGCAGAAAAGCTAAACATACAAGATCTCAGTACTGTTCACATATCAAGTGCATGGAGTAGATAAAACATTCTAACACTGGATCAGGGTCTTTGTGCAGAATGTGTGGATTAAAGCTCTTACTGGGGACTCCAGAAACAAGGCGAAGGGGCCGCAGGACTCTGAAGGCTCTCAGCGCCTTCATGTCAAACCCTCCACCCTTCTCCATTGGTACACCTGCTATCTTGTTTATGGTATCCAAAGCAAAGGTGAAGAGGCTGCAGGAAAAGATAGCACAGCCATGAGTGCCTACCCCTACAGACCTGCTGCTTTAATACAAAATAAGCGTTTCAAAACTGGCACTCAGCAGAAATATATTCCAGCTTTGATATGGAATTTTTAACTAATAAAACTGAAGTATTAGTGGCTGTTCGAATGGAAGCTGTTGCCCTTTGGCAACAGAGGTATCCACCTGCAGCTTAGATCTCATCTTACCCCATGAAGACGATGACAAAGTCCAATATGTTCCAGCAGTTCCGTAAATAGGCTCCTTCATGGAACACGAAACCATACGCTACTATCTTCAAGAAGCACTCCAGAGTGAAGATGACCAGGAAGATATACTCCAGACTCTCCTGCAGTAAACAAGGAAATTGCATTTTATAAAGGTCACACCAGTCACATTCAATTCTCCAATTGAATACTTAATGATTTGAGAAAATCCAACAAAGAGTAACTTAACACCAGCTTGAACGGTTTTGTTTTGCTGCTCTATGTGGCTGAGCAGCATCTGGCAGTGTTCCTGGATATACCTTCAAATACTGTATATACAGCAAGATGGGACGTTACACCACTGGAGGTCAGCAAAGACAAGATTTTCATGTTTGATTACCCTGTGAGGCATTTGTTTTAGGGGGAATAACCCAAGGTGATCAGCAAAAAAAGCTCCTGGTGTTAGATAAACATGCTGTCTTTTATGGGCTGTTTGCTAATTTTCATGCAAACCAATCTCATGAAGTTTAAACAGAGAGGCTCAGGAGACACACAGTGATTGATGAGAGAATTTACGTCACAATGTAATTAGTCAGAGATGTCATTCTAATATAAAGCAAACTGTTTGCAGCAGATTTAAAAGCCTTTGGTCAGCGACAGCAAACAGACAAAGGATGGATGAATAAAAGTGTCTATTTTCAAACTGTCTCTGTATTTTCTTGATTTTAGCATCAGCATCAACACACAGAACTGAGCACGAATCAGGCTGTTGGATCTGAATGCAGATAATTTAGGACAACAGGCTAATATGTAACAACAGTATGATAGAGCTCCAAGGGAATCCAGCCACAATTATTGACGTAATCTGAGGCGTACTGTAAATGATATATGAAATGTTCTTTCTTTCCCTTTGAGTCTTTTAAACAGATCAGATCAATAATCTTTAGCTGAGCCTCCCAGCAGCGCTCCCCAGGCCCCTAATCAATTAGAACCTCCAAGGCCGACCTCGCAGCCACTAACAAGAACACATACGTTTCTAGACCCAAAGTCACCCGACTTCAATGAATTACAGCAACAGGGACAGGTTGCACTCGTAGGTTGCAGTGTGTTAATACTCATAATATTTTCTGAGTTGTGGTTTCATGAGGCAACATTTGTGGACTCTCCTGTGTCCACCTGCGTCAGCGGAGTGACGCCGCCCAGGCCGACCTACTTCTAGCAGCAATAAGGGGGTGAACCATCTCTTCTTACATTTTTCACCTCTGTGGAATGGCACCGTAAGAAGTTAGATGGACTTGGGACAAGGCTGGAAAGAGGGCCAAAGCAATGAAATTTGGGCACCTGATGAACTTGGCTAAGGGGGGAAGGTAAAATGAGTATATATCAACACTGACATAAGCTTTAACCTGGACTGTGTGGCATTTATTGACTAAATGCAGAACAGTCAGTGATGGCTGGCGTTAGGGGCTTTATATTGACATTTTTGATGAATGTCAAAATTCTCAGAGACAGTGCAACATCCAATACATAGGCACAAATAAGATGAATGCACTGTGCAGCCTTTTTTTGCTCTCTATGCCATACTTACACACCTTGATCACCCTTTTAGCCTCTGACCTGTAATACACTACCCTCACAGCACTATGATGCTGAAATATAATATTTTTTGGACGCATATCAGCAGCAACCAGGGGTCAAACATCCGCCATCGACTTGTTTACACTACTTTAAAATGAGACACTGTGAATCGGTCATGCAACCCTTTGCTACTACAGTTTTTCTGCTAGAACACATAAAAAATGATTGCATAATATTGTGGTGAAAATAAAGCTTCTGCACTACACTGGAAATTCTGCAGACATCATATCCTGCATATTGGTAGGTAATTCTCATACTTTTGCATGACTGTCTTCTTTAAAGGCCAGTTTGAGATTAGAGAAGGATATAAAAAACAAAACAACAGGGATAAACAAATTGCCTGATGACACGTTACTTTGCAGACACAGATGAGACTCCCAACAAAGCACTGAGTTGTGTCTGGAGGCATTTAAATGGGGCTTGGCGCTCAGACTCAGGAACAGCTGAAACTCTTAGTCATGAAGTGTCTGACTTTACTGGCTCAAAGCTGTAGCTGTGTCAGTAAATTAATACGACTATATTAATTTGCTAAATCCAGCTACGCAGTCATCTACTGGTTGTAGTGAAATGCTGGTCCTTCCTAAACCAGAGGCCACAATTAAAAGATTATTTTCTCTATCTTGCATATTATGATAGATAAATATGAATTCATCCACCAGACCGCCGGGTTTCTCATTTAGTCTTGTTGTGTTCTCTTGTTCTTACCAAACTTGAGTTGGTGTTATTGCTGTCTTCTTCAGGCATCGGCAGGAACACAGCCAAAGCAACACAGTTCGCAAAGATGGTCAATAGGATGATGATTTCAAAGGTTCTGAATGGGGAAGCTCAGGATCCAAACAGTACATAACCAGGACTGATCACACAATAAATAATTAACAGTGACAATTAAAGGATGCGAAATACTTTAAAGACAGAATAAAAATCTTTATCTGTGTGAATCATTTTATGCTTTTTGTGATGCCACGTAACCAAACAAATCCAGCAGCTCTGTGAACGCTGATCAGTGTCTTTAAATGCTGCCTGAAACATCATCCCTAAAACAGCCCATCGGACGGCCGGCGAAACGGTCACAGTTAATGTAATCTAGTCTGCCGTGCTGCTTCATTCTCGTCCGTAGGGGGCTCTGCGAGAGAATTCCCCTGCCAGGTCAGCATCATGTCTCGCTGTGACGCCGTGGGACAGCTGCACAGCCCAAGAATATGACCAAACCATTTAAACACTCACTATTCATCAGTGGGGAAAAAAAAAATGTTTGGACATTCTCTTAAATATTTATTCAATCTGAAATCCAAGCACATTGATTGTTTTATTATTGTAAATATATTTAAAGAGGTTTAGTCAGTATTTCTACTCCTTTTTACAAGCCCTGTGTTGTCAACTCACATACCAATGTGATTAAACTGCTGCAGTAAACAGTCCATGACCTGGCTTAGCTTATGTACATAAATGTCAATTCAACTGTTTAACCCGACTATTTACACGGTCACGTTTTAAAATGCCAGTGTCATTGTCCAACATCAAGTTCATGTATCTGATTTAAGGTGCTGTGAGGATAAGGGTGCTGTCACTGCATAGATATGATCATCTCCTTCTATTCTGGATGGAAAATATGTACGATCCAGGAATGGACATCAGGCTAAAAGCAGGAAACCCCCTATAGGAGCCATAACTTCACTCAACAGCCTGAGATGTGTTTAGGCTGTTCTCACAGGCTGCCTGCATTTCGGAGCGACTATTTCCACATTAAATTTAAAAAAAAAAGAAGATCAGCGAGTCAGGACACTAAAGAGGTGATGTCTTGAATTGCTTCAGTCTGACAGATGTGAGTGGATGAGCTCAGACTGGCTCCAGGTGAAAATCTGACAGCTACAAACTTGACTTTGAAACAAGCCAGGAACAACAAAAGTCTTAACACGTCGGGGATCGTCTTAGCACAGATTTGAAATAGACTTAGTTGAGCATACTAACGACAGGTGAACAACATGGCTGATAATTCCCCACACTGCAGATAAATTATTTCTGTAAATCCTAGCTGTCAGTAGTCCACTGCATGCTACTTGGGTATCTTACATACTGTATATTTAAGAGCAAAGCCTATTTAAAGTACATATATTTCTAAGCCAATGTCTGCTTAATAGCACAAACACAATTGTCTGAGTAGTTTGTATAAAATAGGTGTGTGTGTGAACATAAGCTAAAAAGGATACTTCCACTCCACAATGTTGATGCAGGCCTTGCGGAAGGGGTTTTTGAGGTTGAAGAGGAAGAGGGATCTAGCGGGTCGAGGGTTTCCTCCCGTGGCCTGTAACTTCTTCAGCTTCTCCCTCTGCTTCCTTTTCAGCTCCTCTTCGTTCATGATGACCGGCTTGGCCGCATCTGCGTTGGCCGCCATCCTGATGCCTCCACCTGTGACCGGCTCCCAATCCCAGAAAAAATGTGACAACTCACTGTAAAATCCCAAACTCAGGTGCAGTGTAAGTCCCCTTTGCGAAGGCCTCTTGGTTCCAAAGCAGCCGATCCAGCGTGGGGTCCCCCGCCGCCCTTTCTCTCCCCTCTTGTCCCTTCTCCCTCTGACTCCGTGCCCCCCTCACACAGAGCCACAGGCCTCTCCTCCTGGCTGAGGGCCTCTGACAGAAAAAGCCCACCTCGGCAGGGGAGAAAACAGGAGCCCAGAGTGGCCGGAGGAGCAGTTGGCCCTGCTGTAGTTTAAATTTAGATTGTGAACCAGTAGCAGGCCATGCTTGGGGATGGTTACGAGGGAAGGGGGGTGGAAGGTGGAAGACGGGGGGTAGATGGGATCGAGAGGGGGTTGGGGGACGGGGCAGCAGAGGAAGATGAAAGCCTGGAGAAGGGGAGGGGGGGTCCTGCAGAAGAAGAATATCAACACCAGCTTGTACACTGTGAGACATTTCACGTCATTTCAACTTGCAAACGTTAAGTTCACCTGCTGCCTTGAAAACACTAATGAACTCAACTTGAAGACAATCTTTGTTTGAACTCAGCAAATCAAGTTTTAAACATGTTAGAGGTGACTGTTGAAAATTCTCCCAAAAGCTAAGCACCACTCCTAATCCATCCATTTTCTGTACACTAGGGTCGCGGGGGGGCTGGAGTCTGTCCCAGCTGACTTAGGGTGAAGACAGGAGACACCCTGGACAGGTAACCAGTCTATCACAGGGCTACACTTAGAGACAGACAACCAAGCACACTCACATTCACACCTACGGACAATTTAGAATCACCAATTAACCTCAACATGTTTTTGGACTGTGTGGGAGGAAGCTGGAGAACCCGGAGAGAACCCACGCTGCACGGGGAGAACACTCCAAACTCCACACAGAAAGCCCCCACCGGGACGCGAACCGGCAACCTTCTTGCTGCGAGGCAACAGTGCTAACCAGCTGTACCACCCTGCAGCCCACCAGTCCTAATCTGAAACTTAATTAGACGATATAGAAGAAGGCTACTTCTCACAGTGCAGCGCATGCAGAGGGGCCACATGCTGCGCTCTTTGTCATCCCCTATTGCAAACAGGGGAAAATCTGCAGTAACCAGAGGAGAAAGAAATTCCCAAACTTCAGGAGGAATGACCCAAAATCTTGCACTTGAGAGTTTTTTTTTTTTTTATTTCACATCAAGCTAAACATGGGCAGTGCAACGCCCCAGTTGGGCTGGAGATAAATATACATACAAAACACTGATAGCGGTGATATCAAACATTACTTAAATCAACCCATCATAAAAATAAAACACACATTAATGATAAACAAAAAAAATGACAGATAAATAAAATACAGCAGTTCACATTGTGCACGAGGTAACGTGAGTCAGTGTGTCTTTCTCTGTTGTATTAACAATTCTCCACCAGGGAGCTTCAGTAGCGGGATGCGAGGGGGGAATCCACTGACAGATAATGATGCACACGCGGGCTTCTTCACAGCCACCAGGCATCCTGATTCACACACTGAACCGCATTATCAGCAGCTTTACAGATTTGGGACATTCTCCTATGGCAGAGATTAGATTCATCCGAGGACGGTTTCAAAGCTCTGTTTAATGCCCCCCATTCCCCATTTCTCTCTTAGCGTGGAAAGTATGTCACATCAAACTGTGCTGCAAAATAGACGACAGAAATGTGGCCTTAAGTCTATGTTACGGAACAAACCCATTTCAAATCAGGTTTGACTGGTAAATAAAAGATTTAAATTCAACTACTTTTAAACATGTTATCTACCAAAAGTTCTTGGTAAACATCATCTGTTATGTTTTGTAAGCTTAAGAGACACATTTTCCTTTTGAGTTTAGGTGCAACACATTTTCCCACAAAAAGAGAGAGACAGAAAAAGGCACAGTTTGGGGAGATCTTGAAGCTATCAATGGCAAAGGTTGTTTTTTTTTTTTTTAAAGCCCAAATGACACTAAATAAAGCCAGGTTTATATAGCAACAAATTGTTAGCGCTAAACTAGGGCGTATGCAATGCCTGGCAATAGCATAGGCAGGGTACATGAACTTACCCTTTCTGAGGTTACTTTATAAATTACACTACAAGAAAAACTTTTTTTTTTATAACAAGTAGCTTAAAAATTATCATGAGGAAGCTTGAAAGCTATTCACAGCCACTGCAAAATACAATAAAAAAAAGTTCTTACTTAATAAGACATTCCAGATCCGTTGCTTTGCAAATTGCTGAAAATGATTGAGATGACCTTTAGCCATGAGGCAAAACATGCAGTTTTTCTTTGTTACAACTGCAACTCAGCTAAAGTTATTACAGACAGTCAATGAATAGATATTAAACATCTGCTTGTTACATCGGTGTGTTTGAATTCTTGTTGTGGAAACCCAAATTCTGGAGGTGAAGAGCAAAGACAAAGAGGTTTGTAAGAGTGCAGCTGGTGACAGTGTTGCAGCGCTGAGCCCAGGGAGGTTACCTACTCTAAACCCGCTTTGACGGCAGCCGGAGGGTTTAACTTAGCATCTTGTGGCGGTCGAACACGGTCTTGCGCTGCTCCTGAACCTGCTTCTTCCAGCGCTGCTGTGCTCCCTCGACCCTCTCCAGCACTGTGTTTCCTCGGGCCTGACTGTTGTCTGCCTGCGGACGCATCTCCTGGACCCGCAAACACAAAACCGCGAACATTCAAAGTGAAAAACTTCATACTCTGCCGAAATGAAACAAATGCATGAGCCGTGTTCGTTTCGTGTAAATGGGTACCTCAGAGTCCTCCTCGTTGTGCAGCGGCTGGGTGTAGGGGTCGTGTTTGCGGATGAGAGGATCAACCAGTAGCAGAAACAGCATGTAGAGCAGCAGGGCACCCACGACGGACAGGTAGATGATGATGGTTACCTGGGACGGTTAGTAAGAGTGAGAAAATTGGAAGTTATGATGCAGAATCAACTTCCAACAGCACAGTCGTCTGCTTGTTTCAACTGAACATTGCAATTTAATTTTACTGTCTATATTAAGGGTCGACAGTTTATCAGGATGTCATGACTTCCAGCATTTTTCCGATTATTGTTACTTTTTATGAGCGATTTTTGATTGAGTATTTTAAAATTTGCTACTCTGGCTCTGATGCAGTCGCCACTTTGTGATCTCCAGTAATGTAGCTTTTATATATTGTGACCACAATGGCCTAAAACGTCTACAGTTTCATTTCCTCCTGAGTGATGCCAGTAGAAGTGAATTTTATATCAGTTCTCTGTAAACATGGACACTGTTACACACTTCTTTCACAACTTCATTGTCTTTCGATCAAGCAGACAAACTAAAGAAGCTTCTTAATGTTTTAAATATTTAATATGTGTGTAAGGTTCCTTAACAAATTGTCCGTGCGCTAGCAGATAAACATTGTATATTTACTGCTGTCTGTCAGTGCCATTAGTCATCAGACTTGAATAAATGTGAGTCTTCCCGTCTCCTAAAACATTTGTCTTAATAAATCACGAGTCCTGCATTATTCTCAGTAAACCTCCTCAGCTGCTGCTCACTTTCATGACGAGCAGGTGAACAGCAGAAGTTGTGTAGTTCCTCCTAGTTCAGTAAATGCTATGCAAGCTTGGGATCAGACTCGCTGCAGTCGAGTAGCCACAACAGCATAAATCACCAGAACAGAAACCACCATCGCTATGGTTATGATCACGTTATCCAGCTCTGTGTTTCCGCTGCTAAACAACGTAATCATAACCATAGCAACTGTGGTCTTTGTTCCAGACATTGATATGTTTGCAGAACTCTGCTGTGAGAATGCAACAAACATGAACAGGGACTCTTTATTTCTTGTCTGTGACAGCAAGCACAGCACACAGAGCTTCAGTAGTTATGGAAGCATGTTACAGCTCACTAAAGTATCTTTTCTCGCCTTATAAGACGCACAAATACTTGTCTCACACAGTGGAAGACTCACAGTGAACCCACTCGTCTACAACACCGCCTTCATGACAGTGGATGTGCAGTCAGGCTGTGGGTGTGCGAACCGCACTTTGTAAAAACATATTTTATGTTGATTAAGTGAAATGATTAATACCACACTGTGAAAGTCCTGCAATCAAAATGTTACTTAAAGCAAAAGTACTGTGACTTTTGTAATAGAGCATCTTATAACATTAGATGATTATCATACATGTATAAACGTAAAGGCAGGATTTTACTGTTGCATCAACTCTAACCACCTTGAACCCCTTGGCCCTCAAGGAATCAAGAAGATTCAGAATCAATAAGCAGAAGCTGATCAGAATTGTTGAAATAGAGCTTTAGTTGTCAGATATACAATCACACAAAGACTGAATGAGATGTGCTGCCAAAACCCAAAGAAAACCAACGGTACCTTGATGGTGTTGCTGCTCCGTTCCTCATACTTGCACTCGCACAGCAGACAGTAAGCTTCCACGTCATGGCCAGGAACAGGCATGGGCTCCACCACATGGAGGCAGTTACTGGAAAACACATCAACAGAGACATTTAAAAACAAAAACAACATGAATGCGTTGGGACTGAAGGTACATGTCAAAGGGTTTTACTCACCAGTCTTTCTGGGAGACATTTCTGTTGTAGATGTGGCCGGTGATGTTTCTGTACGGCGGGCAGATGCACTTGCAGCGAACGTCCTCGAAACTCTGGAATGATCGAGAAAAGGAGGTCAAAGTGTCTCTAAACTTCTGTCAGCATCTTAAATGTGAAGTTTTGTTGTTTTCTTTCCTATGACACCATATTAAATATCTTCTAATTGACATTTTTGGACAGATTTTAGACTAAACAACTTATAGAAAAATCCAGGAAGTAATCACCAGATGATGGATAATGAAAACAATAATGGCTGCACCCTTAGTTTAGGGGTCGTTTTATGGTATTGTTTTGGAAGATCAGTGTGTCTCGTATCATTATTTAGACTGTAATGAGCATGATTTACAGATGGGTTTTACATATGAAATTTTAAAAAGAGAGAGATCTGTTTTGCAATAATATGGGGCTGATGAATAAAACCAAGTCATTTTGATGCATTAACAACACCTCAATCGCAATCTAGGTGCTCCAAGTGAAAGTGAAAAACCACATTTTATGAGTTAAATGGTCCTTTAAAGCCATTTGAACCAGTAAAACTAAATTGGTTATAATGCAGGACACAAAGCAGGTAAAATAATGCAGAGACAGGAAGATAACTGCTCAGTTTTCATGCAGATCATCTCTTTTGGGCTCAACAGCTGTGTGCAGCAGCAGGTTTTTACCTTCGCCTGTGTAAAAACAACAGCATCCAGCAGAAACACAGTCACTACTGCGGCTGCAGCGAACATCCAGGATCCTCCTCTGCTGGACAACATCGCCCCAAAAAACGGTCTGCAGGATTAACAGCGGAGCTCTGCGGAAACACAACAAGATGTAGCAGTTAGCTAGCAGCTAGCTAGCTAGCTAGCAGACAAACCAGCGGCTCAAACGTCACTGAGGAGACACTGCAGATGAATAAAGGCAGAAAGCGACACTCACGATGTAGCAGGAAGTCAAATATCTGGGTTTTGTTGTGCATTCAGGAGCAGCTACTCGGCGACTCTTCGCATTTAGAGGAAAGATCGCATGAATTGTGTCCTTCCTTATTCCGGAATGTCGTCACACACGAAGAAAGATGAAAAATGACACGACAGCGCCCCCATCTGGACAAACACACAGGAGACTGTAATCCTGACCTAGATGTTGTTTGTTTGTTTTTGACGTACTTTCTGCTTCTACTTTTTTTTACTTTTCAGTTAAACATTTTCTTGCTAGCAGCTAAAGTTACAGATTACTTTACGTATTCTGCACGAGGACGTCTCTGGTTGTCATAGTGACAGGAATAGGCAAACTACACTGACTGTTATTTGACAGATTTTTTTTAAATGTAGTTTTTAAAATACAAAAACTAACTAGTAAAATGAGAAAAAAAAGTATTAATTCACACATTAACTATAAATGTAAAATATATATAAAAATATATAGATTAGATTAGATTAGATTTGATATATATATAAAACAGGCCAAAACAGTACGTGTAACATGTAATTTACAAATGCTAATTTATTCTTGTGCAGCATTTAACTGTAAAATCACACAGCTTTTTATCAAATCAGCAAAAATGTGACTATTTTACAGGTATGTCATTAGTACTTTTTTTACTGGTTTGAAAATAATATGTACTTTTTTTTTAAACTATTGATTTTTCTGTATTTAGTCAAATCTAAAATTATTGACTGTAAAACAACCACAACAACAACAACAACAACAACAAACAATCCCCATTAAAATTCTGGAGTTTCATCAATCATATGTTTTTCTTTACACTATGTGACCATAAAACTACACAGCTCTACTTAAATCTGCTAAAATATCAGTATTTTACAGATAGTTGTTGTCATTTGAAAGACAAATTATGCACATTAAGGTTCAAAAATTGTAAAGTCTTTGTATGGTTCTGTATGTGGTTAATTCACTGAAAAGGGGTATTAATTAACATACTGTCGGAAAATGTAAAATAAATAAACAAAACAGAATAAAACTGGCCATAGTGTCTGCATCCAAAAAGAAGTATTTTTTACAAAGTAATTTGTTCTTTGACAATGTGTGAACATCAAATCACACTGTTTTATTGCACTAATAATTAGTTTTATAATGTTAGCAGTTTTTAATTTACACAATATTCCACTATTTCTCAATGTATAATTTTTTTTTTACACTGTCCTACACACTTAAATAGTCTAGAATTAAAGACTTGTATTTATTATAAATGTATTATTTTATCTTGTGTTATTACCTCATACTTAATCTAGTATCATACTGAGGGCCAAATAACTCATCTGAAACACTGTGATACTGAAGACTCCCAGTTTAGAAGCGATGTCTCATTCAGCCCTAAAAAACATGACAACCTGTATTCTCTGTAATACTGCCTCGCTGCAGTTAAAGATCGGATGACTCACCACCCTACATGTGAACACAGGTAAGCCGGAAGTCCTGGTTGTTAGTCCTGTATTGAAGCTAACAGTTCTGGCACTATCACTCCCCACCTTAGACCAGAAATGTTAAAGTTGTTTTTGATCGTAACCTCAACTTCAATCAGCACATCAAGACTCTGGTTTACTCCTGTCATCCAAAAATATGAAATATTGCCAAGGTCAAACCAATGCTCCCTCAAAACATTGCTGAATAACATATCCACTCATTCATTTTCCCCTTACCCAGACTTCTTCAACTTATTATTTACTCACCTTAACGATGCAGCAACTGTACAGTCAATTCAAAACTCAGCAGCAAGATTATTCACCAACACTATATACAGGGAACAAAACACTGGCTCCTCATTTGTTTCAGGATTCTGTTTAGGATTTTCTTAGCAGAGTAACCTCTGATTTTGGAAATCCTGGATCAGAGAATCAGCTGCTGTTAACAAGGTCTAGGAGGCTCATGCTTTTATGGTTTTAGTCCCAAAACCCTGGAACAAAGTCCTCTGACTGTCAAATGAGTGCCGTCATTGCATCAGTACAAAAAAGCCACCTGTACCGACTGGCATTTATATAATATCTTATGTATTTGGTAATACTTTATTATTGCCCTTCAAATATTTTACTGTCTTTACGACTGTTTTATTGTCTTTTGTCACTGATTTATTGTTACTTTAAAAGTTTTGTCTATTTGAATGTTTCAAAGCATCTTGCAACTCCGATTTGGAAAACTGCTTGAAAATAAATTTGGTTTCTAAACATTATT